GGGCGATGATTCTGCAGGAGAGAGCGAACCAGGATGCCACACATGGAGCAGGAAGGACGAGCCGACGTTCTGCCTGTTCAAAAACCAACTAGAGTAACCTTGTGTTTTTATTTGACTAGTTAATAGACAATTCTACCCCCACGTCAAAAATACACATTTAAGTTCTAATACATATATACATGTCTGCTGGTTAATGACATAATCACATGGAGGCAGGAGTCACAGCACAGGCAGAAGACTGTGTTATCTATTATTATATTTAATGTCATTTTTATCTATTATATTATATAAGGAAGGCTTATTCATCAAACAATAGACACAAAAAACTTCACCCAAAAAATGCCTGCATAGCGGCGCAGCGACAGATATCGCGCAGAACTGTCACGTGATATTAAACCTACGCTCTCCGGTGGGTTAGATGATTCAAGATGCTTTGCATATTTCTGGCCAGCAGATGTCACCAAAGAGCAGCAAACTTGTTCTCTACAAGCTTCAGAAAGCTTCATTTGGTCATCACGAGCAGGACTCGGACTTAAAGTGATTAACTAAACTTATTTATTTTTATATTATCTTATTCTTTTTTGCTTGAAGAAGAATGGACTGGCTTTATGCTGTTAAGAGACTGGGTCATGTTTCTCCTTTTATCTGCTCTCCTATAGTTCTCTAGCTTACTCTGGAAAAGTCATGATAACTAAGGTGTCCACACTCACATGTGTATATTTAGATCTGTGATTATTCATTCTGAATCATTCTTAGACACCACAAAGGTAGTTTTGTAATTAATTTTGTAACTTTGAAAGTAACTTTTTAATGTTTATCCAGTTGAACTGAGGTTTGCAAAAGGTGAAACAGACTGAATATGTTTGCATGTTTCCTTCTGAACAGATGCAGGTGTAACCCAGAGTAAAATCTGTTTCCTGCACTTATTTCCTGCCATTGAACGCATCACAAGTACATGACTCCAACCACATGACTTTGCTCAGCCAATCGGATGGCATGTGGGTCATAGTAAGCCTGTCCGGGCTTCCTCCTGTCAGATGCGTGGAGGCAAGCCAGGTGACAGAGCTGTTGCAGGTTTGTATTGGCAAACATTGGTTGCTTTTCCCGTTTTAATGCATTTCTTTTAACACCCACTAACTTATGCAACTTAGATGCTGATTACTGTGAGCCAGAGCCATAGTGTTGTTGTGCACTGAACAGAACGGAAGTGGTAAGTTTGAACTTTTAATTGATTGTTTGTATTGCTACCAGCTGACGCTAATTGGCTGCTGCCGGTCCAAACAATTTGATGTTGATTTGACTGATATTTGTTGAATACAAAATGCTGTGATGCTATATAGTATGTATATAGCAGTTGAAATGTTTCAGTTAAATCCTTATTGGTTAATATACTGTTTGTTTATTTATAAATTGTGTACACAGGAACAAGAATAACTTCATGTTTTTAGCTTAATTGGCTGACATTTTTGTGTTATTCTTGTGATTTCTTATTGGCCTTGTTTATTTAATGCAGGCCAGGTGAACCCTTTTCGGGTATGAAAAAGGATGGCGAGCCAATGAACGGCTAGGAGCAGGACTCATTCTGCATTGAAGCTTCCACTGGTTGGGTAGGAAGCTATCAAAGACGACGCTCTGTCCCCATTTTCCAAATACACTGATTTCCACACTCATACACACCATTCCCCCCATTTCTGGACAACAGCGCTTGGACATCTCTCATGGACATTCAGATAAAACTCATGGACTTCAGTGTGGATCAGTGGTTCTGATGTTAACATGTGTTATTTATGGGGAACTGTTTTTTTTGAGAATCTATATTGCTTGGTATAAGCCATAAGAATTTGCTTAGTTGTCTTTGTGCACCCCCACTGGGTTTCTGATTAATTGAGTAGCTGCAGCAGGAGTGATTATTTAAGTTCCCCTTTTCTTGTTATTTTCCTTTGGGGTTCGGTTAAATACATGGTACCAGCAAAAGCATTTTGTGTTGTGTGTATTTATTTATTACTGCCCATCAGCTCCAGTAGCATTCGTAAATCTTCTGATTAATAATGACCATAATATTTCACTCAATACACAGCTTTCTGTATCCTGTCACTGTGTTTGTGAGTTTGAGATAAATAACTTCTTTGTAACTAAAACTGATTTTGAAGCACAATTTCACTAACTCATCTACACAAAGCAATAACATTTCTCTCTATTTTATAGCCAACAGCCGGATTTATGAGCACCTCTTTCTCAAATCTGGCTTCACAGAGTTACATCTGTCTGGTTAGGGATAGCCCATTTTAATGTCCACTTTAATCTCAAAATCATCAATATTGTTTTTTTTTAAGGTGGCCCTAACTCTCCTTATATTGTTATGACGATTGTTCTGTTGCAGATAAATAAACCACAGTATCCAATGCCGACATCTTGAAAGCTGTTAATTGTCTGAATGACAGATTCTCCAGTTTTGAACAAATGGTGAACAAAAACAGAGATTATTGCCGTGCAGGATCACGTGACAGGTCTTGAACTACAGAGCAAAGAGACAGACGTCACCGTGAAGAAGCTGAAAGATTGCATTGCTGCGCTCCGAGGAGTGCATTTAAATTTTCTATAAAACTTTTCATACCTCCAAGTTAGTCGTACGAATATTTGACATTATTATGGTAATGTTTGGACTTGTTTGCGTTTTGCATTGTGAGTAGTTAAACACAAACTTTTATAGGAGTATAAATGTTAATTTGCTTAAGCATTTGGGTCACTTCATTGGGAAAAAAAAAAACAAAGAAAAAAAATAGAGTCTGAAGAATTTTACGTAGGTACTCAAAACTTAGTGTTCCCTTTTGAGAGTATCTTCTTTAGGTGTTTATACCTTAGCACCTTATAAGTTTCAGGTTAATTTAACATCCAGTTCACTTTATTCGTTCCCTTCTTCCCTTATGGCCGGCTTACATTTCAGTTCCTTAAAAATACTATCCTTTAAAGCTCAAGGTATTCATGACAGTACCAAAAGAAAGTCCATTTTCATTTTCTGTAGACAGAAAAATGCTGATTTGATTTTTCTACAAGAAACTCATTCGTGTGATAATGATGTAAAATTTTGGAAAGCAGGGTGGGGTGATCACTGTTATTTTTGCCTCTCAACATTCGGCAGGCGTAGCTGTTAGGTTTAAATTGTTAAACGTTGTCATTGTGTTACTTAAATTTTTAAGTCTTAGATCAAACAGCATGATCAAAGACATTCCTTTGTTTCTATTGCCCTCCCCAGCCTGTTGGTGGGGGAGGCTGTAGTGTTTATTATAGGCACATCCTATGTGAAGGTTCTGTTTTCTTGCTTAGTAAGTTTCCTGCTTTTATGATCCTTTTGGTGAGCAGGAGGTCACACAAACGCACCCTCAAACACAAACGCACCCTCAAACACAAACACACACACGGTACCTTATCTTTTCTGACCATAGGGGGGTTTACAAGGGGTGGTGCTGTGTGTACTGTAACTGTTTTCAATAAAAAGCAGCAAGCGGAGGCCGGGGTGGAAGTGGTCTGAGACGGAGGGCAGAAGGGCTGCTCTGAGATCCTCCCCTTGCGCAAGTTAAATCGCTGTTCGTCTTGCTTCCTTGTCATTAACGGGAATAAGTGTCTAAACCAGCGGCCTGTGGAAGCACAGACCCAACAGTAGCCATTCTGCTTAACAACTTTAAAGGTAACATTATTGAGTCATTGTCTTCAGATGAAGGCAGATGCAAACAAATATGTAAGACTGCGTTCTTCCATTTGTGCAACATCTCTAAAGTTAGAAATA